CTCCGGGGCAAACCGCCGCCCCTCCCCCCCCCCCACAATATCCAGCCCGTGTGACCGGGGCCTTAGATAGGTTTTTAGATATATTTTAACAGTCGTATTGTGAATTTTATGATGGAACCTACCCTGAACCCACTTGCAGTGAGGGTGGAATACAAATAGAAATAAATAAATAAAAACCCCTGAAAATGTCACAACATTCAGTAAACCAAAGAGAACCTTTGCTTTCAAGATACCAACAGCTTCCAGAGGTCATGAGACACTTATCTCACGGCTGTATTTGGCTTGCTGTGCACCTTGGTCTTTGTGATGTCACCTTGCCCCACCCCCACTTCATACCTTCAGCCTCCAGTTGTCACCAGCATCATCTTTAATCCGTAGGAGCCACGTTTCATTGAACCAAGAGGGATCTCTGGAAAGGAAAACCATAATGCCATGGTTGAAGACAGAGACTCCAACAGATGGCCACACGTTCTCAGCCCTTCTAACATCTCCCATTTAAAGCTTCAGGTGACAGATTATATGAGAGCTATCCCACTGTGTCTTGCTCCACTTGACTGCCACCTCGCAAGCCAAGAATTCCTTCATCTGACCCTACATGAATTCATCATGGCAAAGAGGGACGACTGTCAACTGGTTTTCCTCTGCCAAGCTGCAGCCTGCACCAAGCCAACCAGTTACAAACTACTTGTTATAACAAGAGAAAGGAAGAAGATTCCAATCTACTTTTGTCGTCAGTTGCTGGCAGAGCCCATTTAGCTAGTCAACTTGCTGGCCAGGGTACAAGCAGGGAAGCACAGTGGAAAAATTCAGGGAGCCCACAGGTGGAATTTTCTATCAAATGGCCTCTCAAGAAATCCCTTTAAGACACCTCCATCCTAGGCTACAGTCACAGATTCCATGACACTCACATCTTGTGCAGCACCTGGGCAATGGTGACCCCGCTGGCCAAATCCTGTTCCATGGCACAAGGAGAAGGAACACTGAATATCTGCAGCTAAAAGAGAGACAGATCTGATGAGTGACACCATTTGCACTCCTTGCACTTCCACTTCAAAATGGAAACAACATTGGCCGGGTCTGCAGAGCTTTCTACAGAGTGGCACAACTCTAGTCTCTGTAGTCAAGGCTCTTTGTATTATCAATGGTAGTGCTGAGCCCAGAAAGAGAGATGTACAACACATACCTTTTTCTTCTGGACAACCCACATATGATGGGGGCAGACAATTACACAACATTTGGCATTAGAAGGAACATTCTCTGTCCGTTGAAATCCTTCACAGAGTTAGATAAAGTCAAGACCATTGTTTAGCTACCAAGATCTATTCATGGTTTGGAGAAAAAAAATCATGCAGAACGTGAAAGTCAATGCCAACAGATAGATTTGCAGCAAAACAGTGCCATGCACCCCACACATAGAATGAGCTCAAACACGAGTACTCCCACACACCTGCTTGGCTGACACACACACGGAGTGAATCACTGAGCAGAAGCAGCCCAGCTGTCACACGCACAAGGGCATATTTGGTTATAAAGACACAGAGGTAAGCCTCGCTAGCCATGTTCTATCACAAGGGTGGCCAAACTTGCTTAACATAAGAGCCACATAGAACAAATGTCAGATATTTGAGAGCCGCAAGACATGAACAAATATTACACACAAGTTTTTACTGCAAAATATGCAAATTTGTTTATTAACAAAAATAAAAACCAAAGGGGTAAAACCAGATATTGATATTTATTTGTCCAATGATATTTGTTTGCTAATGATATTTATTTGTCTCAGAGAGAGAGAAATAGAGGTAAAAAGAAACAATGAAAGAGATAGAGAGAGAAACAAGGAAAGCAAATAGATGGGGAAGGGAGGGGAAATGAAGGAAGGGAGAGAAAAGGAAGGGAGGGAGAAAAAGAGGAAGGAAGGAAGGAAGGAAGGAAGGAAGGAAGGAAGGACAAAAGAAGGTGAGGGAGAGAGAAAGAATCGGAGGAGGAGGATCATGGAATGTTAGAGTTGGAAGGGACCTTGCAGGTCATCTAGTCCAACCCCCTGCACTCTGCAGAAGCATAGCCAAAAGATGGTCGTCCAGCCTCCACTTGAAAACGTACAGTGAAGGAGCATCCACCACCTCCCGAGGCAGACTGTTCCACTGCTCAACCACTCTTACAGTTAGGAAGTTTCTACTGATATTTAGTCGGTAACGACTCCCTTGTAACTTCCACTCATTAGATCTAGTCTTGCAATCCGGAGATTGGATATATACCCCGCCCTTCACTTGGAGTCTCAGAGCGGCTTACTATCTCCTTTCCCTTCCCCTCCCCCTCCCCACAACAGACACCCTGTGAGGTAGGTGGGGCTGAGAGAGCTCTGAGAAAACTGCTCTTTCAAGTACAGCTCTGACAGAACTATGGCTTGCCCAAGGTCATCCAGCAGGTGCAAGTGGAAGAGTGGGGAATCAAACCCGGTTCTCCCAGATTAGAGTCCACGCACTTAACCACTACACCAAGCTGGTAATAGATGAGAGGGGGGAGGAAGGAAGGAAGGGAGAGAGAAAGGAAGGTGAAACAAAAGAAAGAGGTGGAAAGAAAGCAAATAGATGGGGGGAGCGAGGAAGGAAGGGAAAGCCTACCCAGGGAGGGGAACACTGGCTGGGGAAGGGAAGACCGACTGGGGAGGCATGCCTCCCCTTCGCTTCCCCAGCTGCCCTGCCCGTTCTATCAGAGAGGAAGAGAAGAGATGGCTAGAGAGGAACTACAGGATTTATCGGTGGAGAAGGAGAGATTCAGGACTGTGGGGATCATGCGGACTGAGCAGCCTCAGCTCTCTCCAGCAATGCAGGATAAGGACCCTCCCCCTCCTGCTTATCTTCCCCTCCAATTCAATCTTGTCCCTTCAGCTCCTACTAAGAAGGTTAAAGAAAACCTTTAAGTTCCTCATAACCGCAATGAAAAGACCATAAAAGCACATGTGCAAATTTTCCTCCTTTGCACCATCTAGTCCAAATTACAGTTTGGGTTTTCCCAGATACAGTACCCAGCCAATACCTGTTCCTATCCAGCTTGGTAAAATTGCCTGACAGAGGCCTATTCTTCTTTTGGAGGCTAGTTACCATTGTTACCACCATAGCCAATCAATTCCAGATGATCTACAAGAAGAGAAATCTCTTTTCCTCGAATTGCTGGGAACCTGCTCTTTAATAAATCCTGGTAGATGATCTCCTACCTCTCATGACTTTCAATGCACATCAGCCAAAATCCTTATTTCGACTGATCTGTTAGACTGGCGTAAGTCAGCACCTTCAAGTTATTTACTTCATTTATACCCTGGCCTTTCTCCCCAATTGGGGCCCGAAGTGACTGATATCAATCTCTTCCATTTTATCCTCACAACAGCCCTGCGAGACAAGTTAGGCTGAGAGTGCGTGGTCCAGGGTGACCCAGCAAGCTTCCACAGCAGAGTGGGGCTTTGAATGAGCCTCTCAAATCCTAGCCTAACTGCACCACCACATTGGCTCTCAGAATCGTGTTTGTATCATTTGTCTTATTCCCTGGAATCAGCATGCCAACAGCTGTAGAAAGCTTAAGACTTCTGGGAACAGCAAGTGCCTGCTCCCTATTTATCTTCTCCAATGCTGTATGATCTTAATGGACTCCTATTGTCTGTCTTTATGTTGGAAAACAGCTTGCTGCATCACTGCCTCACACAAGCATCAACAGGCCTACTGTGGCCGCAGGTCTCAACACCCGACTCCGCCCCCCCAGAAGTTCTTGCCAGGTGAATGTATCCTAAAATGAGTGACCTGACCCCCCTAATCTGGCTAATCACAGCAAAGCACATGGGCAGCCACCTTCCTCACAGAATGAGCTCAAGAAGGCTCCAGGCACCATCTCCAGCCATTCCCATGCAAGCCTGACACAAGATACCTAGCTAGTTCTTAAGAATCAACAGTCTTGCTCTGAGAATGGCTGCATTATCAATCAGTCTACAATTTAGAATTGCTCTCTGTGTTATCCAAGTCTCTGATATATGAAAAATCCTGCTTCCACCCCCACCCACCCCCATTAGCACGAATATCCAAGGGGGAGGGGCTATGGCTCAGTGGTAGAGCACCTGCTTTTGCATGTAGAAGGTCCCAGGTTCAACCCTCAGCATCTCCAGTTAAAAAGATCAGGTAGTAGGTGACGCTAAAAGACCTGTGCCTGATACCCTGGAGAGCCATTGCCAGTCAAAGTGGACAATATTGACTTTGATGGACCTCGGGTCTGATTCAGTAGAAGGAGCTTCATGCGTGTGTGAGCATTTGTGGGCCCAGTCACACAGGCTGAAGAACAAACTGAGCTATCAACTTCAGTTAGAATGGCTAGATTTGGCGTGGGAGAAGACTCTGTATCTTTAACACAGGTACAGAGAAACAAAGTTTTTGACAAGCACCCCTTTTCTTCTCACTGCTCTCCTGACAAAGATGTTCCTG